TTTTATGTTTGTCAGCAGCGACATTTAACGGTACAACCATTAGATATTCTCAAGTTTGTGAAACAATATTCCCATCTACGTTCTTACTGAACAAATAAAATACACCTTAACTGCACCACATTTTTCGCTATATACAATGGAGCTAATATTTTTTTTCCATTTACTAATACCCAATGAGTAAATTGCAGGAAATACAACCTCCACTTTCCTTGGTTCGGCACCGACATCCCTTATTTATTGGTACTATTGCTGATACAATTAATGAAGGTTTATTTATCACCGACTTGAATATATATATATCTGCACGGATGTAAGAATGGGGAGAAGGGGCTCATTTACGAATCCGCCAAGGGGCTCCGAGGTTCTAAAACGGGTCCTGCCTACCAAGACCAAAAACAGCTCAGAGCGCACATCATCATCATCATCATCATCATCATCATAAGAAGAAGAATATAAAAAGAAATCCAAAAAGTAAAAATAAGGCAAAAAACAAGGTTTTGTTGCACAAAATTGCGTACAAAACCTTTTCCGAACACCGTCTCGTTCTAGCGCACAAGCAAACGTGGTCGCCCGTGGAAGGGACTGGCCGCCACCGCGTGGGGCAGCGACAGAACAAGCAGCTCGCGGTCGATCCAAGGCCCTCGGCGCCGAGGTCACTGTGCAATTGAACGGAGCTGGCGGCATGATTTCGAAACGCGCACAAGGGACGCGTATGTCGCATCGCAACACGCCGATAAATTTCTATACTTTGGATGTACATGCTGGGGCAAACCCCGAGCTGAACTCGGGGTTTGAGCGCGTCGAAAACTATGCCAACCGCCGTCAGCCCACTAACGTGTGTGAGTGCGAGTGCGAGTGCGAGTGCGAGTGCGAGTGCGAGTGTGAGTGTGAGTGTGAGTGCGAGTGCGAGACCGAGAGCGAGTGTGAGAGCGAGAGAGAGTGTGAGAGCGAGAGCGAGTGTGAGAGCGAGTGTGAGAGCGAGTGTGAGAGCCGAGAGCGAGAGGCAAGTGTAGCGGAGCGAGAGATGTTGAGAGCGGGAGCGAGAGCGACGCAGCAAGAATTTGTGTAGAGCAAGTGTGAGAGCGAGAGCGAGCGGTGCGAGAGCAAGTGCTGCAGACGGAGTGCGAGTGCGAGAAGCGAGTGCGAGAGCCGAGTGCGAGGGCGAGTGCGAGAGCGAGTGCGAGTGCGGGGAGGAGGCGAGTGGAGAGGCGAGTGGCCGACGAGGCGAAGTGCCTGACGAGCGAGTGCGAGAGCGAGAGCAAGTGCGAGTGCGAGAGCAGATTGCAGGAGAAGTCGAGAGCAAGTCGAGTGCGAGAGCAGCATCGAGTGCGAGAGGCAAGATGCGAGTGCGAGAGCAAGTGCGACGTGCGAGAGCTGAGTGCGAGTGCGAGAGCGAGTGTGAGAGCGAGAGCGAGTGTGAGAGCGAGAGCGAGTGCGAGTGCGAGTGTGAGAGCGAGAGCGAGTGCGAGTGTGAGTGCGAGTGTGAGTGTGAGTGCGAGTGTGAGTGCGAGAGCGAGTGCGAGTGTGTGTAACGAGCCGAAGAGAGGGCAGGTTTGTCCTCGTCCACAAGCCGATCCTACACTTTTTAATAGTATTATTACACGCTGCAGCACGAGTACGCAACGTGGTATATTCCTGTGGGCCTAGCCTATGCGTGGGGGCGATGGCGACGAACACACGAAGACCGGCATGTTGGGGCGTACAGATCGTAGCAAAGCGACCCATTCCCCTGCACACTCAGATTGAGAGATTTTTTTAACACATTTGTATGATGTTTGTATTGTTTCTAATGTATGCCCGTAATCAACTGTGTAATACATTAATATCGCGTTTGAAACTATATTCGGTTTTGTGGTTTCTAAATCGTACAAGTATTTTTTCTCTACCTCCCAGCCAGGGAAAGGAGGGCAGACTGTTCGGAATCATAAGTACGACCCTCGCTCTCGTTCTCCTTGCAGTGACCAATGTGAATGCTCCTGCCGGGAAGT